TGACGGCACGCTGAGGAACAGGTGCCTCGCCAACTGCGACATCGTCGTTATCGACGGCGGGAAAAGGGAATCCCTGCACCACATGGAGTCCCCGCATGCAGCCCCTGCGCCGGGCGAGAAACGGTACCGGATCGACAAACGCCCAAGCCAAATGCAGTGCTACAGGGTGTGGGCATCATTGCATGGACTCTTCATGCTCGAGTCTCAGCTCGACGTTATGACGGGGATCCCCGTCCGAATCATCCCGTGCGCGATGGCTCTCCGCGATGACCCCCCAGAAGATAAGGCCAGCATCAACTCCGCAAACCATCAGGCGGACATGGGCAGCCTAGTCCGTGCGCGGGCAGCCGCCGCGTTCAACTCGCCAGTCATTGACTCAGACTGGTACACTTTTCCCCCAGGGGCACAACCCATCACCGACGCCGAAGTGGCATGATGGCCTGGGAGCGTATTCCAGAGACCGCTGCCGCCCCCCTGCCGGCAGACAGCTGAGGACACTGCCAAAAGGCACTTCCTGAACGAGCCCCAGTCCCGCGTGCTGCTGGTGCTCCTCGTGCACGGCCCCCCCGGCACGGGTGAGACTAAGACTGCAGCGGCGCTTATCAACCTCTGGATGGGCTGTACTCACGAAGGCTGGGCTGTCGGGCCGTTCGCGGGCGCCAACAAGGAGGCCGTCATGCTGGCAAAGTACCTCGATCGCTGATGCTCGCCGCGACGGCAGACTGAACGAGGCAGACTGCTGCCTCGACTCAGCGGTTCGGCGCGCCCACCCCGACGAGGTCACCTACCCTGGGGCCCGCGAGCTCACCCCCGCCCGATGACAGTGCAGCATGGCATATGGCGCGGCCATCAACGAGATTGGCGCCAGGTCGCCAGCGGTCAAGAGGGAGCGGGCCCTCGCAAGAGCACGCCTCGCTCATGCCACGCTCGAGATAATCGCCGAATTGGGCGCGCCCGACAGACCCGAGCTTCCGATCGCCACCCTGGGCGTCTCTCTCTCTCTCTCTCCCCCTCTCTCTCTCTTTCTCTATCTCTTTTTCTGTTTAGTTCTCTTTCTCTTTATCTTACTCTCTATATTTTTCTTTATCTTTCTCTTTTTCTTTCTCGTTATACTTAGTTCTCTATCTCTTCTCTTTCTCTTTCTCTTTCTCTTTCTCCTTCTCTTCTCTGTCTCTTTCTCTTACTATTTTTCTTTATTTCTGTATTTCTTTCTTTCTTTCTTTCTTTCTTTCTTCTTTCTTTCTTTTTGTTTCTATCTCTCTATCTCTTTCTTTGTTTTGTTCTCCCCCCCCTCTCTCTCTGTTTGTTTCTCTCTCTCTCTTTCTCTCTCTCTCTCTCTCTCTCTCTCTCTCCATTTTTCCCCCATATCTCTCTCTTTCTCTCTCTTTTTTTTTTTTTTTCTCTCTCTCTCTCTCTCTTTTGTCTCTCTCTCTCTCTCTTTCTCTCTCACTCGCTGCGCGCGGTGGAGGGCGCGCGGTGCAATGTGGGGGCGAGAGCCAGCTGCGCCCCGCGGCGCTGTCGGCCCGCGCAGACGCTCTGGGCGCCAGCAGTTCCACGTTGGAACGTTGGAACGCCCTCACGACCAAATGAACGCCTCGCCGCAGCGCAGCGTGCTACTCGGCATGTGCTATCGCATGCAGAGCAGTCTCCTCTCTTTCCCGCCCGTTGCCTTCTACCAAGGCTCGCCGCGCGCTGGCCTGGGCGATTCCCTCGCGCAGGGACCTGTCATCCATGAGGCCCCCGTGGAGGCCGGCCGACCTTGCCCCGCCCGCCCCCGAGGCCCCCCCAGGCAGAGGACAAGCCCGACGCCGCGGTTGACTCCGGGACCCGCGGTTGCGAGAGCAGCGGGTGGCGCGGGCCTGGCCCGAGCGATTTGGGCCGTTAATTCTTGTTTCTGGGCAGGGCCCCACGAGGCGGTCGCGGTTGTCTTGGGCACGCTCATCACTTCCGAGCTAACAGCCCATCGCGCCTTCGAGATCCCCGCGCCCGCAGGTATTCCGACGCCACCACGGCCCTTCGGAGGTATGGGGCACGCGAGAAGGACTGCGTCGAGCCAGAGCCTGGCCACTGCTACACTTCTGGCGACTGCAGATTTGCCCAGCCGTTCAGCTGGCCCACAGGCAGCGATGCCCCAGTGCCACTCGGGCCCAAGGCTGGGGGGGGCCGCGAGACTTTTTGCGCTGGGTGGAGAACGGTCTGCCTCGCCTCCTCTACGGGGCGATTAGGGGCTCGCCCTGGGCCGCCGCGACTTCGTGCGACTGGTGGCCCAACATCGGGAATCGACAATGCCGCTGCGTCGCGGACTAATCGCGTTAGCGCGGCCAGTCCAGTTTCAGACGTGTTTCCCCCGCCTGAACTGGTCCACCAGCGCGGCGGGCCTCGTGTGCTTCCCGCTTCTCGAGCTACGCCCCGATCTGCGCGCCGTGGTACTGGCCCGAGCGCCCAGGGCGAAGGGTGGCCAGCTCTGCCGTGATCAACGGGGGTTCCCGCCGACAGCATCTCTGAATTTTCAATGCTGTGGAGACCCAGAAGCACGCGATCCTTCCACGGATGGGCTTCGACGAAGTCAGGTTGAAAATGATCGAGCCCCTCGTTGATGCGAGCCGAGAATGCCAGGCATGGGAACGCCCCAGCACCGCCACTTCACCGCCGCTGAGCCTACCTGGTCGTTTCAACGAGGAGGCGGTTTGCAACCTATGCCGTCGCAAGAAGCGCATTGCCTTCCACGTCGTCGACCGCTGCATCAGGCGCGCCAGCGGCTGCGAGGTCCCCGCGAGTCCAAGTATGACCGGATGCCTGTAGCAATTGTTTTGCGAGGGACAACCGCGCCGCCAAAGAATTGCGCTGCGATGGCGGGGGAGGCCCCAGCGACGATTATTCCGAATGCCAGTTGAAATCGCTGGAAACTTAAAACCGCATTCGAGCCGCGTGACCGCGCGCCAACGCCGCGGGGCCCCGAATCGGCATTCTCAGGAAGGTCTTCCGTGCCAAAGGAGAAATTTCGAAGGTCGCGGCGCCCCCATGCTTTCCGCGGAATGTTTGGCCGAATCGATGTTCGCTTGCGGGGCGTTTGCCCCTCGGGCGAGCCTTCCCCGCGCAGCGCCTGCGCCGGTAGACAACCATCTCTTATGATGGATCTTGCAGGGCCAAATCTTGAAGAACTCGATTCCACTGGCCAGGGGCTTGAACGCCGCGTCCGCGAGATTGTCCTGGAAGTTATTTCCCCGGCTTCTGCTGCGGCCCAACTAGAGAGGAACCTCGCGGCAAGACCAAGGCGGTTTGCGGCGGGATCTTCCGAGCAGGCAGTTTGGTGGATGACCGTCGTCCAACCGCCGCCAAGGATGACCGCGGTGGGCGGGGCGGGCCCCGCGCTGTCGCCGAAGTCAAAGTGGGGCGGGGAGATTTGCAGCCGAGTCAGGGGTCACGTATGTTGTAGTGCACCCCCCTGGTACTAGACTGCTTCGATATCTGAAGGTCACCGTGGTCGAGAATTTTGGCGTGGGCAGCGTGGCCGCGAGAGCTCTCGCACCAGGCGTTGCTGCCCTTCCCGAGGGAAGGCCCCATGTCGCCTCCGGCAACGCCCCCGACCGCACGAAGGAATGCCGCAGTGCGCTGGTCCTTCTTGCGCGACAGTGATGTCCAGCCGGGCTCCCGCTTCTACGAGTCCGCCAGCGCCCCTGCCAGCGCGCGGGACATCGCCGGCAGTGGCCATGTTCGCCTCCTGCAGTGCCTGATTGCAGCCAGACCCGTCCGCGCGTTCGTCGAGGACCTCAAACGGCGCCCAGACCTTGCTGATGCTCCGGACGGACCGAGGGGGCGAACCGCCCTGGGACCCTAATGGGCCCCCAACGTGGAGACGGCAGTGTATCCACCGCCGAGGGGGGCGAGGGCGAACGGGGGGGGATGTCGTGATCCTGCAAGAGTGGTGCCAAGAGCTCGTGCGCCCGCGCTGAGATGCTTCGGGTCTTCTGTCCGATCCCCGCCCGAGCGATGCCCGCGCATATTCTATTCGTATCATGGGGGCAGGGAAGCGCCATGATCAAACGTGGGCACATAGACCTGCGCGACCGTAATGAACGTCGTGACGTCTTATTATCGTGCCAAAATTCTGGCCCCCCTGTGCTGGCCATCGACGTTTCGGGCAATCGTGATCTTGGCGACCATTGTGGGCCTCGCTCCGACGAGCGCGCTATGCGCCTACCTGTACTTCACTGGTGACGGAGCACTGCGGCAGGGGGCACGGGGATCACCTCGGTTGGAAGCCATTTTGCCCAGCGGGTTGGCTACTATCCGTGTCTACCTCGCATCCATATCAGACGAGTTGCGGTCGCCAACGAGGGCGGTCTGCTCACCGAGCAGGATATCACCAATAACCCAATGCAAGTATGTTCAGTACTTTTGACAGAATGTGCGACGCGGTGGGGCAGCCGATGATCGGCCCAGAGGCTGCCGCCCGGGACCCAGGATGTCACGGCCTCGAGGTGCGCGCGTGGCCAATGAAATTCGTAAAGGCCGATTCAGGACACAAGCAGACAGGTGCGCGGCTTATCCGGATATTGTGTTTTTCTTGAATCAGGAACCGTCTTCCGCGGACGCCCCCCCGGAAACGGTGGGGCGCCCGTCCCAGCGTTGGTTCGCGAGCGAGGCATTTATGCCGCCATGGTGGGATCTCGACCGGGCTTTTCACCGGCCTCGCATGCAGAGATCTGGCCGAAGACGTAGGTGAGCAGGAGAGGATGGCGTGCCTCATTACCTCCTGGCAGTGCCGCGGTCTTCCGAGGCCTGCCCGGCTTCGAGGACTGCGATGGAGCGCGAAGCCGTCCAACGCGCATCAAGTCCGGCACTGGTGTCAAAGACGCCTTCGAGCCTTCCCCCATCGTTCTCAAGAAGACCACTGAGATCATCGGTCTCGAGTCCACGTCCTACGACCAGGATGTCGAGGCCACCGAGGATCTGCTCATGGCCAAGCGCGTGGGCGACATCAGCGTGCGCGGCAAGGGCGCCCGCATGCACGCCTAGGGCGAACGGGTCGAGCAGGCACTCGGCAAGTGCAAGTTTAACAGGCACCCCTACACGAGTTGCGTAGTGCGATGCGTTCGTGCGCCTGCGGGGGTCCCTCGTGCATTCCACGCTTGCCCAAATCAGGATTATGGTATGTATTGTTTCTATGCAGCGTGCGAATCTTCCGCGAGGCGAGGCGCCGGGGTGCCCTTGCCCGCGCGCTGTCGGCGGTGCCGGAGAAGATAACCCACTGGGCCATGGCCCTTGATGGCGTCGCAGGCCTGCGCGGCGACTTTAGATATCGGATGTTCACTGGCGGCCGGGGCGACGACAGCGCAGGCCCCGTTCTTCGAGGGTGCAGTCTGCTACGCCGTGTAAACACGAGCAGTAAGGAGGACATCGTGCACTGCGTCGACAGGCTCTGCGAATATCATCGTTCCCATGTCAGGTCAATCTTCGCTGCGGGAGCGTTTGTTTCCGCTTATTGACTCCGTGGCGGTTGCCCCGCTGTGGGTGCGCTGCCCGGGCTCATCAGGGGGCGCTTGGGTTTCTTGGAGTTCGCGCGCCTGCGTGAGTTCGGTGTGTCCCGTATTCGAGTGCCCTTCACGATTGGCGATGGATCAGTGCATGAGCTTTTTCGTAGCAAAGATGTCAATGCACCATCTGATAATGCGTCGTTGGGACATTGTCGTTGGGTCAGAGAATTCCATGATCTCGGCGCCATCAACGCCGCTGTGCGGCGCGACGCCCGCGACGCGGCGGCGGATGGCCACGCCGAGGGTAGTGTTGACAGCGCCCTGCTTCTGCAAGGCACGGCTGGCCACCGAGGCCGCGCGCTCGAAGTGGAGCGCGCGCGCCGTGTCGAGGCAATTGGCCTCTCGTCGCCGACGGGCGGCTGCTGCGGCTGCTCGCGCGCCTCTACTTGCAATTTGATGTCTGGCTGCTGCAGCCGTTCTGCGCGCTTGGAAGGGGGTGCCTCTTACTGGCCCCACGTGGGGCTTTCGCGGGCCCGCGACAGCCCGAAGTGAGCGCTTTCCCGCGCTCCTTTTGCGCGCGGCTGCCGCGGGGTCGCGGCCGCGTTCTTCGCGCCTTGCTGTCGCGGAGACGCGAGTCAATCCAATACTTTCTGCGCCGAAGAGGCATCGGCTTTTGTCGGTCAGTTTCTGGGCTTTGGCGGCCGACCCCCTGATCCTTCGCGCGCAAGCTGCGCTGTGCAGCTCGCCTCTGTCCATGGCATTGTGGTGCCGAGCAGTTGGGTTCATGGGGGCGTGGTCCAGCTCTGCGCGCATTCGTTTTTTTTTCGCTGCGTCGGTGGTCAAAACGTGCGACTACCGATCTCTACTTCTATTCGCGTGCGTTAAGTACTGCGTTGGGCCCATATACACGGTGGCGACGGTCCAGCAGCGCTCCCCCCCCCCCCCCCGATTGCGAGGGAATGCCCCGGCGGCGCCTTCCATGTCGCTGGATCGCCGCCACCTTGGCTGAAGGCGGCGCCGCCCTGTCTGCATGCGTGGCCGGCTCCGCCTGCTGCGCGTGATCTGCGGCGGACTGGGAGGACAAACGAGGTCTTTGTCTTCTCCGCCCTGCCATCGCCATTGTACCTTTTCCTTTTTACAATCCCCCGTCTCGGAGTCCTCTTGGGTTGTCTTGAGTGTCTTGTGGGCCGCCCCGGGACCGCCTGGAGCCGTCGTGGGGCCGTCCTGCATGGAGGTCTCTTGGCCGGTCTCGGGTCGTTGGTTTTGGCATACGAAGCAGTTTACCCAAGAAGGTCAGATCTCTTCATGGGAATGGGCGAATTTCGGCTTGTTGGGGCCTTCGTGGGGGGTCGTTTGGAAGCGTCTTGAAGGCTTCGTGGGATGTCTTGAAATTATGACAGGGCGAATGGGTGCCATTCGGGACCGTCTAGGAAACGGGGGAAACACTTCGAAACCGTCGGGTGCCGTTTATAGATATTTCTGGGGCTGCTGGGGCCGTTGGGGCCGCTGGCCCATTTCGCCTATACCTTTTCCTTCTCCGAAGTGGAAGGGCGGAGTCCACCGGGGAAGGGTTTGGAGAGAGGCAACATACTCAAGCGCCGTAGGCCCTAGGCCCCAAGGGGTCGGCGGATATCCCCATGCTCGCGTTGTGCGCTGTAAGCGAAAGAAACAGCGCCGAAGTTTTTGTCAGTTTTTGGGGGTGTGGGAGCCTAGCCGGGCCCGGGGCTGCCAAAAAGATTGCCTAGGATGAAACGCCGTTCGGGGACCAGGTCGTGACTTCTGGGGCCCCATATCGAGAAAATCCAGACATCGCATGTTTGGGGCACCCTCCAGATTTCATGCCCCCTTTTCTCTTCTTTCAGCGCGCCCCGTGGCTCCCCACTCGTCCGCGCACATGCCTCGGGTCATGATGCGCGCGTCTCCCCCTGACCACCCGTTTTCCGTGCACTCGAGCAGGGAGCGGCGCCAGAAGCGGATGGCGAAAAGGATGGAACAGCTGAAAAAGGAGGTCGCTGGCTCCTGAAGCGCGCGGGCGCGTGTGGCGCCGGCTCCGCGGCTCCTTTTCGGTTCCTCGGCACGGGAGGGGAGGGGGAAAAGGGAAGGCGGGAGTGGGAGGGGAGGGGGAGGAGAGGCGGGGGTGCAAACCCAGACGCCTTCGAGTAATGGAACAATCAAGACGGACGTTTTTTGTTGGTGGGGGGGGGTCGTTGTAACATGGGCAGGGAGCTCTCGCCGGGTCCCAGGACCGTCAAACAACGATTCCGGATGAAAATTTGGTCCTGAGGAATTGGGTAGAGATCTCTGAAGGTCGATGGTGTTTAAAACTCTTGACGTCGGGGGTCTGGTGGAAAGGGGAAAGGAAGGGGGAGGACGAGAGGGGGACAGATCAAGGTCTGTTTCGATTCTGTCGATTTGATCCGACATTGGTTCTAGCCGGGTCCGTTCCGATTCGCATCCGCATTCCGACGATTTTGCGCGGCTCGATTTTTGCGCGGGGCTGCTGTGCATCCTAACGCGGCCGATCCCAGTTCGGTTTCGACTCCGTCCCGATGCGGCCCAGTCCAGCGCGCGTTCCGATCCGATCCGATTTCCAGATCCGATGCTGACTGATATTGGGAGTGGGAGATGGAAGTCAAGTAGGGGACCATCTGCAACACTGAATTGCTCAATTGATTTGCTCATGTAAGCTTGTTCGTATGTCTACGGGCATCATGCGCACGAGTGGTGGATTCGACGAATTGGCATAACTCAGTTCTCCAGTCGATCCCCTACTCGAGGAGGGGAGGCGCAGTGCTTTTGGGGGCAGGGTCTGCACCCCAAGCCTTCAGGGGAGAGTGTTCGCGTCACAATCAAAATCGGTCCTCATCCTCATCATCAAGATTGGTCCTTGTCTTCCCCCCTCTTCCTCCTCGTTCTCCTCCCCCCCCTCCTGCTTCTCCTCCCCTCCTCCTTCTCGTCTTCTCCCTCTTCCCCCTCCTCCCCCTCCTCCTCCTCCGCCTCCTCCTCCTCCTCCTCCTCGTCCTCCCCCCCTCCTCCTCCCCTCGTCCTCGCCATGGCGCCTCGGTTGCGGCGCCCCGAAAGCAGGGCGCCGGCGGGGCGCGGAGCGTCGGCCCGGGCGCCCGGCGCCGCGCGCGCCCGCGCCAGGACGACTCCGCCGCCGCAGGCCGCAAAAGGCCACTTCGGGATGCCCCCTCCTCCTTTTCCTCCTCCTCCTCCTTTTCCTCCTCCTCCTCCTCCTCCTCCTCCTCCCCTCCTCTTTTTGCGTCGGCCAGACCTTATGTGTGAACATGTGGCGTTCTTGCGGCTGTGGGGAAACGACTCGGCGCAAAAATGCCTTGGCGGGCGCCGCGGAATGAGCTAAGAAAAGACTTTGACACGTAGCGAAAACAGAGTAGGCGCCCGCCAGGTCATCGAGGTCGGCAACCACCTGAGTTGGTAAAGTCCTCCACCACCACCGCCTCCAACTACCCAATGTAAGGGCCCGCAGGATCAGTTGGTGCTGCCGCCTCGGTAAGCATGGTCCCAGCGTCTACCTTGGAGTGCAACACAGTACATGAGCACATAACCGTAGTAACGAGTATCAGCATCGAGGTACATGATGTAGAACAAAAAGGGGCAAGTGAAGAACAAATGCAGAGCGACGCCGTGACTGTGCAGTTCTAGGGTTGCTGCCCAGGATTTTGGTTAACCCCAAACCGTAGATAAATGTACCCCTCCGCCAACCACACCAATACCAAACACGTCCCTCTGTCCTCCGCCAAGATTAGTATTGGGCGTGCTGCAATACATGGTTTGCGGCTTGAACAATTGAACGTAGAACAAGGGCCGCTATCGGTATTTGTAAATGCTCAGGCTGGCTTGTAGGATGAGGCAGGCCACAGGAGTAAAACGTGGTAGGCAAATAGGAGCAGTGCCTCCGTAGTGCAGTTCTTGGGTTGCTGCGCAGGGCTTTGATGGCTAACCTCAGACCATACTGAGCCCATCCCCAACCCAAGTACCTACCTCCACCGCCCATTAATCCCCAACCCGAGGCTAGGGTGAGGTAAGTGCGCACAGTAGAGGTTTGCTGATAGACATGTGGCGTCTGAGACTACTAATGGTGCTCCTACTCAGCCACCGTACTGCTTATTATGTAGTGAGTGTACTGCTAGCAAAGGGGGGGCTGCACAAGATGTGTGCAATGACTTGCTCACGTATCCAGGGTTGTGGAGCGAAAGACATGAGCTAGGTCTGGGCACTTCTTTTCCAAGCCTTGTATGACAGTAGGCTGGAAAAGTCAAAATGAAAAGACCCCCTGACCAGCAATATGCCCGCTCTTTTTGCAAGCAGCAGGTCCGCTCTTCGGTTCCTAGGTGGAGGGGCCAGCGTCACCGTAGTTAGTAGTTGACTTCAGGAGTAGGGGGGAGTGCACGACGAGAGGCAGGGGGAGAGCAAGGTAAAAACGATGTAGGTGCTGCAGTGCTGTGCACCGTTGGGGTCCCAGGTGCCCGTTGGGCGTACTGCATCGAGAATTCCCTGTTTTTGGTGCCCCCAGTGTGCCTGTTATCAGCTGTAATAAGCCCAATTGGCCAACAGGATGTATTGCGCAGCAGCGATGGTGAGGGCGACTGGGAGAGATCGCTGTGCATGGGATATGTGATCGGCTGGCTTGTGGCAGAGGCTTGCCGAGTAAATCGCGGTCCTCTCCCGCCGCCAATCCTAAGTAACCGCCCATGGCATCCCCCCTCCAATGTGAGCGAGCTGCGCCGACTGCTGCGTTGGGTTTTGCAGGTTAACGCCTGCCGCGAGGTTTTGCAGGCGTGCCCCGAACCTTTGCGGGAGAGGGGTGCCGCCAGCGTAACGCATGGGAGAGAGCAGCGCAGCGCGAAGAGCGCATCAGCGACGTGAGGTGAGAAGCGGCGGCGGGAAAGACTGGGGCTTCAACTGAGAGGGTACTATTCTTAGTGCTCCTCCGTCTCCTCATCCTCTTCCTCTTCCTCCTCATTATACCTCTCTTCCTCCTCCTCCTCATCATCATCATCATCATCATCCTCCCTCAACTGAGAGGGTACTATTCTTAGTGCCTGTGTGGTTCTGGGTCTGGAGCGGATGGAGGGAGCACCTCGGGCGCCCCATCAAAGTCGGCCGCTGGTGTCTCACCGTTATGAGGAGAGAGGAAAGCATAACAACAAAGCCTTCGAGGAAGTCTCTCCTCCTCCTCCTATTCCTCCTCCTCCTCGACCACCTCCTCCTCCTCCTCCTCTTCCTCCTCCTCCTAATCCTCCTCCTCCTCCTGGGCGGCAGTGCACTTTGCCTCAACACAATATCTTCCATGCTTCTCAGTGCGTTGCGGGGGTTTTGTGGGATTACCCCTAACCGAGGTGCTGAAGAGCCTCCTCTGCAAAAAAAAGGGTAACTGTGGATGTGCGCGCAGCGACGGAGGGTGCGCGCTGTATGCTGTAGGCTGCAAAAGGGTTTTGTGGATGAACCCTAACCTTCCGAAAAGAGGTGTGCAATCCTAGGGCTGCGAGCCGCGAAGGAGAGAGGGGAGAGGTGTATTGCTCATCAATAGTGGCCATTGTGGAGCTGACTGCAAGTGGGCGCGCGCGTATCCGCCAGATCAGATGAAGCCCATCTGCTGGGCCGTTAATGTCGCGGTACCTTGGAGTATGCTGCCCAGTGTTGGTTGCGGTAACAGGTCACCGTGTCGTTTGCGTGGACAGGTCCACAATGGTGGGCGTCGCAGCGTGAATCGTGACCGTTCTTTGTAAGGAGTAATATTCTTCACCTGTTTGTTGGAGTGCTTCGTATTCTTCACCGGCGTTCCCGGCGGCGTGCCTCGGCGGCCCCGCGCCGGCCGTGCCCGCCCCGGCGCGGCTTCGGCCTCCAGGGGGTCGAGCTGGCGCTGGGCGCCAGCTGCGGCGGTCAGCTTCGTTTCGCAGACCCCGACCCCGACCGCCGACCCATCCCCATCCCGGACCCCGACCCCCACCATCTCAGCACCCCAGTTGGGGATGTACCCCTCAGAACCCGACGGAAGCAGCCTGTATCCATAGTCTCCCATCACCATCCCCATCCAGACCCTCACCATCTCAGCACCCCAGCTGGGGATATACCCTTCGAAGTCCGAAGGAAACAGTTTTTCCCAACCATCCTGTGGTGTTGGGTCCTCGTTTTGAAGAGACGGCGCCCCGCGTTCCCCACCTCCTCCTCCTCCCCCCCCCTCCCTCCTCCCATCATCATCATCATCATCATCATCATCATCATCATCATCATCATCATCATCATCATCATCATCATCATCATCATCATCATCATCATCATCATCATCATCATCATCATCATCATCATCATCATCATCATCATCATCATCATCATCATCATCATCATCATCATCATCATCATCATCATCATCATCATCATCATCATCATCATCATCATCATCATCACCGATTTCGGCACACCCCTCACACGTTTCGTGGCCCCATAGGGAGCTCCACCGAAGGCCCCAGTGGCAGGGTCCGCATGCCTCCCCACCACCCATTTCGGCACACCCCTCACACGTTTCGTGGCCCCATAGGGAGCTCCACCGAAGGCCCCAGTGGCAGGGTCCGCATGCCTCCCCACCACCCATTTCGGCACACCCCTCACACGTTTCGTGGCCCCATAGGGAGCTCCACCGAAGGCCCCAGTGGCAGGGTTCGCATGCCTCCCCACCACCCATTTCGGCACACCCCTCACACGTTTCGTGGCCCCATAGGGAGCTCCACCGAAGGCCCCAGTGGCAGGGTCGCATGCCTCCCCACCACCCATTTCGGCACACCCCTCACACGTTTCGTGGCCCCATAGGGAGCTCCACCGAAGGCCCCAGTGGCACGCATGCGGCACACCCCTCACACCCGCTTTCGCGCCTCCCCACCACCCATTTCGGCACCCAGTTTCGTGGCCCCATAGGGAGCTCCACCGAGGCCCCAGTGGCAGGGTCCGCATGCCTCCCCACCACCCATTTCGGCACACCCCTCACACGTTTCGTGGCCCCATAGG